CCAGACACACCCCCACCCATGCGTCGATTCTCGTATTCGTTTCGTCTCAAGAGGAAGGTAGTCGATACTATAAAAATCCTTGAACGAGCTGCGCTCAGCGTGAACTTGATCTGGGCCTACTACAGGCAGCTCCCCCCCACAAGCAGTTGTGCGGAGAGAGGCGAATGGTCTTCGGTCTGTCTGTGGTGCTCTTGCATTATTGGGAAGTTTACGCTTCTTTCGAGATCCGTGCGTGACTTATTCGCTGATTGTGTGTCTGTGGGGGCTTGCTCGGCTCTTTTTCTACTTGGCTAGATCTAGCTGGAGTTTGCTCCAGATCTGAACTGCTGCTGTCACAAGAACGACCAGCGACTTGCACAAAAAAAAACCCAACCAAGCTCAATTCTCTTTGTCGACCTTTGAGTGCTGATCGAAGTTCAAGCTGATTCCACGGCATCCTGCGGAAACTGTGAGTAGACACAATATGGGTTCGATAATTTGAAAGGGGGTGGGGGTGGGGTGGTAGGAAGTGGTTACCTATTTATTTGAATGCATAGATCAACTGACGAGAATAACAATTGTTCATGAACGTCGCCGTGGGCCTATATCTTTTTACTCCTTTTCGTTGATTGTGTATCAGGAAATCAGACAGGAAATTGCTCACGGTTAGTTACAGAAGTGAATCGATTGGAAAGCCGTGTTCTATTTTTGGCCTGATCTTCGTTCACAAAGTCAATCCATAATCTCTCTTGTGTATTTATACATTATTTTAACTCATTTTAGCTTGATTAAGTTAGTGTGCTTCAATGTGTTTGTGGATTGTCTGACATAGTTTGTGTAGATATCTTGATTCTAGATCTAGATCTAGATCTAGATTTAGTTGTTCATGAGTGCTATGGTGTGGTTTGCTCCTTCTTTCCTATCAAACGTCTATCGTCCTTATCCCCCATCCATTTTGTATATTTGCTACTCTCTAGTAAAACCTCAAATTTTCTGCATTTAGAATAAATATAACCTTTTTGTGTTGCAAGTGCCCCAAAAGTCTTACACTAAAGCTACCCCCAACCCCTAAAACCCCCCCACAAAAAAACAACCCC